CTCTAGCTAGGTCCTCCAGCAGAGAGGTTAGAATAAGGGCACCCTTTTTCTGTAGTCTATTTTAGTAAGGGAACCCTCCCAACCAAAAAAGGGGAGAGAAGGGCACTGGGACCTAGGTTCGCCTTGGAGGCCGAGAGATGGAGCTTCAAACAGCTTAAGGCCACAAAGCGCCTTTCTTATATATATATAAAATAATATAATAATATATATATATATAATATATATACATATAATATATATAATATATATAATATTTATTTTTTCTCCAGCGATTCCGATCCGTCCATCGTGTGGCCCTCAGGTTGGCCCCCAGAGGCCCCAAGGACACCCTCACATGGTTTGGCTGCGGGTTGTCATGCAAACAAAAAGGATCAATACCGGGTCTTCAGCCCAGTCACAAACTTTTTTTTCCAAATTCGCACGCTCAAAGGTTCCCAACTGATGCCCAATCCCCTTCAAGGTCAACCCCATTCTGGGCATAGCAGGGCGGAAAAGTCAGAGAATTCTGTTCAGCTCAACTCCTGCTTTTTCTTTTTTCCTGATTCTGCATCATAGTTAGTCTACCCTGAATTAGTAGTTTGTTCCTTCCATTGGTTTGCTAGGGTCGTGGGACACATCCCTACTGTGAATGGACAAAACCCATTTCGCACCACCTCAGAAACCCTGGAATGATTCCATTCCATTGTAAATACCAACCAACGTTAATGGCTTCAACCATAGTTTCATTGCGTGGTGCGAATGGATCAAACATATGGGCGCGTCGTTTTTGAAGGCACCCCTGTTTTTGTGGTTGTGAAGTGAAACCAAAAGTACCACCACCATTTTCAGGGGTCCCCCCCAAAAAAACAAACCGTAGGGAATGTACTTCTCTCTGTGAGATTCAGCGGGTTTCTACGGAAACGAGGCTTACGCTGAAATGGGCATATAACCCTGGGGATCACCCCCCATTAAAAGAATGGTTGACCCAGTTGTTGGGCTCGATGGGAAAGGCTTGGTCCGGCCTCCCGGCTTCTGCGGCGGCGCCCCCCCGCAGCGCATCGGCGGGCAGAAGCTCTGCTTAGGCTTCACCTGGCGAAGTCGTCCACGGTTTCTGTGACGCATGCGTCTTGATTTTTAGAGGAAATCTTTGGTTGGCTTTTGGACACGTTTTTGTGACGCATGGTGTGTGTGTGTGTGTGTGTCTTGTTTTTCGGGGAAAGCACTTTGGGTTGGCTTAGGGAAAACGTTTTTGTGACGCATGGGGCGCGGGTTGTTTTTCGAGGAAGCCACCGTGGCTTGGCTTCGGGAAACCAAGTCTTGAGGAAACTTCCATTTGAGATGGTCATGGGTGTGTCTGTTTATGAGGCTCGGTGCCTGTTTTGGGGTCGTTTTAAAAAGAAACCACCATTTTGGACGTTCCCCCGTTTTGAGACACACCCACATGGAGGAAACCCAGCTTTTGATATGGTTGCGGGTGTGGTTTTAATGGGGCTACCCTGTTGACCTGGTTTGAAAGGGAAACCAAAAGGAGACCAACTTTTTTGGGATTAAATTTGAGACCAATCCTGTTCCAACTTCTTGGGAGCGATAGTGACATCTGACATAAAGAACTTGACAGGTATACAAGGATGGTATCTGAAAATTAAGCTGGCAGTTCAACATGCCTCATTTGGCTTCCCTTGACTCACTCCGAAGTGGCGCCAAACAGAGTCCAAACTTCTTCAAATGATCACCACTCACACGCTTGACAATGCGGGGCTTCTGAGGACTCTGAAGGATAATTTTGCGTAACAAAGCGCGTGTCTGTAGGATGTCTCAACCACTTGGACACATATGCTTGGACAAAACAAGGGCACGCCCATGGCACATGGCACTTTCACTAAACTCTGGCCGGGAGCCTGCCTCCAGCTCGTCCGCGTGATACCAGAAGTCCCCGATTTTGCACCTATTCGAATCAAAGCTGGTGTAGTCGTCCACGTTTTGTGCCACAGAAGTCATGCGAAGGGAAAACAAGGGCACCTTCTTGGATGGGGTTCTGATCGCAGGTTTCTCATCGAAGGTTTCTGGATGCCCATTTACTCAGTCATCCCGCGACCGGCATTCTCAAGAGCCCTGCAAAAGATGGCATTGCCCAGAATCCCGGAGAGGTGCCTGCTTTCGCACACCTATTCTGGACCTCAATTTCTGTGTAGATTGGTCCAAAGGTGGAGGGGGGCAGCTGGTGTTCCCTTTCAAGCGAAACTCATCGGCCAAACATGATTGGTTCGAGCCCATTCAGCTGCAGGGAGTTGGATCGCACGCCAATTTGAATACGCAATCAAACCAGACCCAACCCGTCCCTCGTTTTGCTGCGCTCAGTAACAGGGCTTGAGCTTTGGCTAAGGTGTGGCTTACGCTGGGTTTGTGCTCGGGTTGGTATGGCAAACTTTGGTTCACCGCCGTGCTCCGCGGATCTCATGGGGCAGTTCCCCTTGATTTCTTAATTCGGCGCCTGCACCATCACAAGAAACTCGATTCCCACATATCGCTTCTCCAGCGCCCCTGGCTGGGCAAGAAAAACATGGTACCTGCTTTTGGTGGTTGAGAAATGAGAAACAACCAGCAACAACAAAGGCATACACAAAGCTCACTTCTGGAGGTCTGGGCTAATGGGTGCAAGCAGCAACTACTTCCATTTGCTTAAGTCCACTGCAAAAAAATGATATTTCCAGTAGTGATAGATTCCCTTTAAAACCATCAGGGGAAAATAACAAAGCGGGTATGGGTCAAAATTAAACCACCAGGGGACCGCAGGTTTTAGTCCATGTTTTCATTTCCCGGGGCAAGCCATTTTGGGGTTACCCCCTTTTTGACCCACAGCCAAGTGTTCTTAAGCAAGTGGAAGACGATGGTTCTTGCCGTGGCGCGCATGCCCATTGGCGTCCGTGGCCACTCCAGCTTTGCCGGTAGCCTTGATGACAACCTCGTCCCCCACTTCCAACATGCTGCTAACGCAAGCACGGAACGACAAAACCGGGGGTCTTGAGCCAGAACTGTCGCCGGAAAAGCTTAGCAGGGATCCTTACATTATATATACACCTGACCATTGCCTTGTAAATGGTGGTGTCCCTTTATTTTGGTGGAAAAAGCCATGTTTCAAATGGGCGAACTGTATCTTTTAAGGAGCCCTGCTGAAGCACTCGGCAAAAAGTGGGACCTGTTGCTACTTCATTTGCACTATCTATAGCATAAATCACAAGCTGGAAATAAGGCGCTTCCTCCCCAGAGCAGCTCGCTGTGAGGGCGGGCTGAAGAAAACAAGGTCAAAGTAAAGACCAACCAGGCCAAAGAACTCTGCTGACCGCTCGCCCCCTGCCAGTCAGTTTGAAAAATGCGCATCCGCTTCATAGTATCTCTCTCGCCCTCTCTCTGTGTCTCTCTCTCTCTCTCTCTTTTGCTCCTCGAACCTGTAAGTAGGTACACGCGGTCGTGTTCAGTCACATTAGCGCGAGTGAAGTCACACCATGATTCTCTTGTCGATCACGCTGGCCACGCGCTTTCGCAGTGTACGTCTCGCTCTGCTGGTGATTCTAGCTGTTTGCGTCCCACGCCTAGGTGAAAGCAGGGTTTTCAGCGCACACCCAGCGAGCAATTGATGACTTTCTGTGCTCCCACCGGCCAGGCCAGTTTTCTGGTCATCAAGTTCTGACTTCGCACGCCAGCTGCGGGAACTCAAATCACACTGTACACGCGCCTCCACAGTGTGCGCAGCGCTTTGCCGCACAACTAGCTGTTTGCGTCCTTCGCTTGGGAAGAGAGGTGTTCAGTCGACGTAAAGCATGCAGTTGACATCTTGCTGTGCGTTTACCCAACAGCCACGCTGCTCCGACGGGACTGCACTGCAGCGCATACTCACTGGCCACGCGCGAACGATGCGACTTTACAAGCCGACGCGACATATATAACCTACCCCTTCTAGGTGGATGTGTCTTCCCAGGAAGGTTCATCATAGGCATTTGGGGCCTAGGCCCCACTTGTTGCCCAGGCCTGGCATGCTTTTTCGCTATGGGCATGAGCTCAACTCAGGTGATTTGAGCTGACCGGCCACGCCCGAAAGCCACCAATTGCCTTTGGTCCAAAACAATGCGGTGCGCAAAGGCTTGTGACGGCGAAAAAACTGCAAACCGCGGAAACCGTTTTCGTCACCTTGTCACGCGCTAGGTCCACCAGGCGGGAAAAGCGGGACACCCATTGGAAAGGAGTTGAGCCTTGGGTGGAGTCTCTATGACCCTCTGAACATGAGGTCATAGACCCTTACTTTTGGGTGATGACCAACCATTTTTAAAGGGTCAAATGGAGACTCCAGGTGCACCTTGGCGAACAAATGAGCTCGATGAGCTCCGCGAGCGAACAGTTTATAGGGGATGCGACTGAAGCCATGAAAAATATCGTTATATGCCCCTGGGAGTTGTCAAAGCTGCCATGGTGCTGGTTCGGTCCAGCTTCTTTTGCCGGCGTCGATCACCCTGCAACAGGAAAGGGTCTTGTGGCCATGACTCGTGCCCTTTTGATTCGCTAAAGAATTGCTCTATATATATATACATATTTATATGTATGGGCAATTTAGCCATCAGTGAGAACAACAGCCCCTGTGCCTTCCAATGGCATGTCAGCTGAGGGTAACCACGCACAACTGTTCCTCCACATCAAAAGCCAAGCAACATTGGCGCATGTCTCAAAATAGGGAAACCCCACAATAGCTGTTTTCGATTGGGTTTCAGTCAACACGCAATACACATTTTGGAGTTGTAGCGCGTTTTAAACTAGTCTTGCTTTTCAACTTTTCACCACGCTTGAAGGTTCTGGAGTTTGAACCCAACGATCCATGCTGAGCCTCCAAATGCCTTTTTCAGCCATCCCGATCGCAGAAGGCCCTGAGCTGTGTCTCCGTTTCTTCTCTGGGCTGGGAACCATCGACTTGTGTTTCCCGCCGCGCGAAGGATGGTCTTGAACCAAGGTATCTGACCTACCAGGGCCCGCACTTGCTTCCGCCGCCGCTCCTGGAAGGAGGCAAGCGGAGACCCCAAGACCCTGCTTTCCCTTGAACCAAAAAAAACGAACAACAGGGACCCCACCAAGAAAATTGGACGGCCGATATTAGTGCTCTTTGGCATCGGTTGATTGTCCTTCCCAATCGTCGTAAGATTGTCTGGCATTCCTTGTTTTTGCAAGGTTTGGTATAAGGATAGAAAAAACATAGGGAACTCTAACAATCCAAGAGAAGCTTCCCCATTCTTTCCAGGGATCCGAATCTTTTAGGAAACCATCAACAACCCAGTTGCGAAACAGCGATCGGTTTTTGAAAAGGACTATGGTTGAAAAGACTGGGCTGTCCTCAGATCCCCCGCGAAAGTTTAACTGTTCGCGGGTTGAATGGAAACCCTCAAACACGGACAAGCTCAACAGCTAAGAAACCGGATGACTGGGAACCACAAAGAAGAATGGTTGAACTCAAACCCCGATGCCCTGTAGTGCACCGGCACAACCCCACAACACCGCCGATTTGTTCCTCCACTCGCACGCCTGAGCACCCCACGGGCTAAAGCTGGGACACCCGTGGCCAAGTGAAAGATGGGGTCTGAGTCTAATTGAGGGTACTTCATTTTTCTCTGTGAGGTTTGAAAGGGAAACTCAGAGGAAAACCCATGTTTCTTGGGAGGAGTCTAAAAAAAAGACACATTCAAATGGTAAAGCTGTGCTTTGGCGTGGAAAGCACGGAACACGTGTCCAAATGGGACCTTAAACCCACCCATATATGGTTATTGGGGGACTAGCAACGCCACGCCGCAAGCAGCATATTGCCTCAAAGTAGTACAACCTGAAAATTCCGCCAGACAAATAGTAAAGTCCTACCCATTGAAAAGGGAAAGATTGACACCCAACAATAACGGGAGCGCAAGAGCACCCTTTCTCCGGCGCAATCCACGTTGACCTATTGGCTCACAAAGCGCCTCAGATGGCCACCGGTCGCCTCGATCAGGATTAATGTCAACTTCGGATTGCAAATGACCATAAGCAGACATCCCCGGGTGTAAAGAGGAAATCATTCATTTGGGTGTGGCTCCAAATTTAAGAGGCAGGGTTACGCAGGTGTTAGTCTTTGGTTCCATTCACCAAGGTGCCATCTTAGTACATTTTTCTGAGTCAGCCATTTTAGTGTTGACATCGAACTAATAGGCCCCTACTACTCAGAAGCCCGAGGGATCGTGACGAATCTGAATTGAGCGAACCCTCGGAGGAGTGGGCGGGGCAAAGTGCTACATGTCATGACACGAAACCTTCTGGTTCCGCTAAGGGTGAACTAGGGTTTCCAACAACCTTGCCCCTGACTTGGTTGCTGTGGACTCCTCGGCAAAAGCCATAATTAGACTGTTTGTGGGTCCAATCGAAAATCCGCTGTTTCAACCAACAAATTACGGCCGAAAGATGCTTGCCAAAAAGTTGGCTTGTGGCCCATCCGGACAGGCCCCTATAAATATATTCCCTTGAGGGCAAAATGGCCTCAAAATGGCTTTGGTGTTCCTTTTGGTTTCCCTCTAAAACCACCAAGCAAGGGATACCAAACGAAGCAAGGCACCCCCATATTGTTCGTGGGTCGACCATATTCTTCGCCTAAGCGCAGTGTACCCAGGGTCTGGCGACTTCGGTCCGAATCCTCAAAGAAACCATATTGTACCGGCAATGCTGAATTTTCAACAATCCGAAAGGGATCTCCCAAAGAACCTACTGTGGATGGACAAATCCTGCACCTAAGAAACCCTGGCATGATGTTTCCTTTGTAAACACAAACAATGGTTTCCAATGGTTTCAACGTGGTGCGAAATGGATTTCATCCACCCACAGTATGGTGAACTCGATGCGCCTCGGGGTGGGCTCGCCGAAAAGAAAAGAAAGAAACCGACGGGAAACTCCGGTCTCGTCCCCCAAGTCGTTGTGCATGAAATTTGGGTCCTTGGGTCGTCCGCCCAAGCCCTTCCCAATCCAGCAAACCACGACCACCAATACAGCTACTCATGTGCAAGCAAACTGTGCCAAGGCATATTTACACTTGGTTGACGTTGGAAGGGGAGCAACAATTGAAATTTTAGCAGTGAAGTGGTTGGATTTCAACCACTAAACCACCATAAGCAAAAATGTAAAATGTTGCCCAACAACAACCATGTACAACTACCAGAAAAGGGCTGGCCGTTTGCCGTGGTTTGCAAAGTCAAGCGGCGTCATTCGAATCCATGGGGCTGAGGCACCCATTAAGTTCGAACCTCTACGAGTACGCCCTGAAACATGTCGTGACCCGACCCACCAAACATAGACAAAAAGGCCAAACACAAAAGCTCAAAAAATGTCGAAAGGTCGATTCGCTTTAGACAAGTGAGTCACATGTGATGCATGCAAAGCATTCGACGCGGAGCGTCTGACCCACATCAAAACTGCGCATCGGAGCTGCGTTTCTTTTGACGCATAGCTATGCAACTGTGGGCCGAGCAGAACACATCTCGTGTCCTTGTGGCAGTGTGCGCTGGCGCTGACGTTCAACTCTTCGCGCGCTTTCTTGACTTGCGCAGGGCTCTTTTGTGGCCCCCATGCCACATTGCGCGGCATTCACCGCCAATTTGGGCTACAGCCCGGGAGCTCACACCCAAGCAAACGACCGGCACGGCCGAAGCGATTCGCCACGCTCGACCACTGCCATGAAAAACCTTTGACGATTCACAGGGAAATCCAGCAAACGACAGGCAGGGCGCAAAAACTCGGTCCATAGGAAAGGTTTGAAAGGACGTGCTTCATGGAAGGGATTCTGCTCGAAAGGTTCTGAGACCTTTCGGGGGAAAATCCCAATCTCTGTCTTTAACCAAACCAAGAGCAAGGTGTGCCAATGGGCAATTGGGTTATAGAGCAAAAGGAGGCGAATATTCGAATGTGCAATGTCAGTCGCTGATGGTTCATCACATGGGAACAAGTGGAAACGACTCAGCCTGACGCAAAGGTTTCGCAAGAACCCGATTTTCATAAGTCAGGTCAGCCCAGAATACCTGAAAAGAATGGGCAATAGCGAGGTTCCGGATTGAAACGGCAACAGCGGGTGGATTTGCGGCTTTTCAGTAGGTAGCTGCTCAAAAGTTGTCCAAGCACCCTCTATGTTGAGTGTCTAATAGAGGGCTCACATAAAACAAACAATTGTCCATCGACTTTTGGTTTGCTTGGGGGAAATAAGCAATTATTGGCCATTCAGCCAGGTTGGTGCACTGAAATCAGCTAGGCTGGGGTCTCTTTGAGAGACCAGTATGAACATATTGCCGGCTGCTCCAAGCCACCTGAAGCGCAACTTCCGCCCCGCTCCATGTCCGATCTACATTCACAGGCTCAGCAACGCTTCCGGAGCCGGTTTTTCTTCTTCCGTGCTTCGGTTCAGCGACACCCAGGCGTAGCCTGAGCATGCGCAGGAAAGAGCAGGGGACCCTGCCATGCTGAAGAACCCTTGGCCCAAAAAGATCCAATGACCTTGGCAAAATGTTCAAGACTATCTTGTAGCCCTCATCACGAATTAAACAAAAACCTGTAAACTCCTGAACCTCTCTCTGGAACCTGAACAGCCTGATTGGGTAAGGACTGTTTCGCAATACTCCTCTCGTGTTTCCGATTTCGCGGTTTTACAAAAGGCACGTGGCCTTGCCCAGGGTAGATACTTAAGCCAGGCTTGAGGAAATCATGAAGGAAATCCAGCTCGAGCACATGACAACGCGATGCTGCAAAATTCGGGAGCCCCCATGCAAGCCTACAAACACGGGAGCGCGAAGGTCAACACGCCCTCTCGCCCCAGTCACTCCAATGAGCAAGGTCCCTCGTTAGCGTTGAAAGCACGAAGCCATGCAGAAGGGGAGCCTCAACACATACAAAGAGTCACACACACAAACACAAACCCACATACACACAGACACTCAGACACACTAACGCAAAGACTCGCAGGCAAAGAGACACGCACAGACACTCAGACACACTCAGACACACTCAGACGCACAAACACAAACACACAAACACGCAAACACAGAAACACACACACACACACACCAAACAAAGCAAAAACGCTAGGAAACCACCAAACAAACAAAGAAGCACATAACCAAACAAACAAACAAGCAAGTAAGCAAGCAAACAAGCAAACAAACAGGCACGCACACAGAGACACAGACGCCAAGCACGCAGGCACACCGGCACACCCAAAGACCAAACACGTGCGCAACCAGTTGCACAAACAAACACACACACACACAGAGACCAAACCCATACGCAACCAGTCGCACAAACACACACACACACAAACACAGAGAGACAAAGGCACACGCGCGCCCACACGCAAGCAAACACAAACAAAGATGCATGCACGCACACATACTCAACCACAAGCACCACAACCATAACCACGACCACAACCAAAAACACAACCACCACCACAACCACAACAACACCCACAACCACAGCAACGACAACGACAACGACAACGACAACGACAACGACAACGACAACGACGACAACAACAACAACAACAACAACAACAACAACAACAACAACAACAACCACAACCACAACCACAACCACAACCACAACGACAACCACAACCATAACCACAACAGCAACCACAACCAAGACAACAGCAGCAGCAGCAGCGGCAACAACAACAACAACAACAACAACAACAATAACAATAACAATAACAATAACAAGAACAAGAACAATAACAAGAACAAGAACAATAATAACAACACCAACAACACCAACAACACCAACAACACCAACAACACCAACAACAACAACAACAACAACAACAACAACAACAACAACAACAACAACAACAACAACAACAACAACAACAACAACAACAACAACAACAACAACAACAACCAACAACCAACAACCAACAACCAACAACCAACAACCAACAACCAACAACCAACAACCAACAACCAACAACCAACAACCAACAACCAACAACCAACAACCAACA